TTTTCAACGTTTATTCATTTTTGGGACAGAGAGAGACAGAGCATGAACGGGGGAGGGGCAGAGAGAGAGGGAGACACAGAATCGGAAACAGGCTCCAGGCTCTGAGCCATCAGCCCAGAGCCTGACGCGGGGCTCGAACTCACGGACCGCGAGATCGTGACCTGGCTGAAGTCGGACACTTAACCGACTGCGCCACCCAGGCGCCCCAGAAATAATGTTTCTTAAAAGAAGCTATGAATGATCTAATGCCTGGCAGGGCAAAGGGCATCTTCTTGATCTCTGACCAGAAATTCCCCCTAAACCCAATTAAATCTGAGCGTATCCAGCAAGGAAAACAGGGGGAAGGTACGGCATTGGTCTGGCTTCAGTAGATTATCAAGCAAGGTCTATATTTCCCAAGGAGAAAAAAGCCATGGTGGCTCATACGTTCTGACGGAAATGTTTTAGCAGGAGAGACAAGGTAGAGAGGGATTGTATTTTGACAGGTGGTGAGTCCCTAACAGATCAGGATGGCACTGAGACTCTGGCCCCACCCCGGCCTTCACCCTGAGGTGAAGTGTGCTTTGCCAAGTCTCCCAGTATAGGTGCCAAGTTTCCCAGTCTACTGAGGGTAGAGGTTCTCTGTCCTCTCCTGGGGTTCTGGCCTCTATGTGGTCCAGGCCATGGTGGTGGGAGTGACCTGTGTCATTCTCCTCCTACACACCCTCCTGCAGCTGAAAGCCTCACTTCAAACCCCAGGATTCCTGAAATCTGACATATCTTACCAACTATCCCAAGTCCTCTCCTGGCCACAGGCCTCATTGTACTGGCCAATTCCCAACCCTGCTTCAAGTTGGCATTTTAGAGACCTTCAGTTGACAACGGCCAAAGTAGGGATGCTGTTTCACGTAGGCCAGGATTAGGGCTTCTGGGCAGCATCATTTGAAAACTACCTGGTAGGGGGCACCTGGGTGGCTCAGTCAGTTCAGCATCCGACTCTTTGATTTTGGCTCAGGTCATTTTCCCATGGTCATGGGATTGAGCCCCATGTCAGGCTCTGTGCTTGAGATTCTGTCTCTCTCTCTCTCTCTCTCTCTCCCTCCCCCTCTGCCCCTCCCCCCTACTCATGTGCTCTCCATCTTTCAAAAAAATCTTTAAAAATCTGAAAAATGCCTGGTAGGTCCCTGAATGATTCCTATACACCTTACACAAAGGTCTCTCCCACATGGCTGCTCATTGTGCTTGAAATTCCACCAGCTAAGTAACATCCTTTGGGACTACATATTACTTTCTTGAGATACTCTTTTCCAAAGCTATCCTGGGAGGGTAACACATTAAAACTAGTACCAGGGGGTAGTGTCTGGCTGGCTCAGTCAGTAGAGCATATGACTCTTAATCTTGGGGTTGTGAGTTGGAGCCCCAAGTTGGGTGTAGAGATTACTTTGAATGAATGAATGAATGAATGAATGAATGAATGAATGAATGAAAATTTAAAAAATAATAAAACTAGTACCTGTCCATGAATTTTTTACTGACCTGGGTATCTGAGAATGAGGGAGGGCTAAAAGAGGGCTGGTTAAGAGCAAAGGTGATGGGGAGTGGTGCAGACAACTTGGGTAAGGACCTCTCCTGATTTTAGGGTGCAGGCTGTTGGGTTTGGATTGAGGGTTGAAAAGAAATTCAGAGGGAGGAGAGGTCATTCAAGGTGGAGGTCACTGAAGCCCCCTAGGGCAGTGCAAAGAAAGGCCTTAGCAGCCAAAGCAGGGTACAGGACTTACCAGCTGACATTTGGGGGAGTACACAGCTACTACCCCCAGTATCCCCTCAGAGTGCTAGTCTGTCTCGTGCAGAGAACAGGAATGGAAGTGGCTTCTGGGTCTCCTATGCCTGCTTCTTGTCCAGAGAGGACTGCCTGAAAAGAACCCATGAGGATATTCCCCAACCCATCTGGTTGCTGGGGGGCCCCAGGCCTCACCCTGCACTGCTTTGCCACTAGACATGCCTCCCTCCCCGCTCCCCAATGCACAAGATGAATAAGAAACAAATATAAAGGGAGTGAGGGGAGGTAGCAGGGTCTGGATCTGCCTCGTAAGGTGTAGCCAATCACTCCAACCCCTCCACATTTACAGCACCATGTATCCAACACTTAATAAATGCCAGGAACCATTCTAAGATTCATATAGATAAACTCATTTAATCCTCATCACACTAGGAGATTTGTTTTTATATACATATAAAATTTTACTATTCATCCTCATTTTACAGCTGAGGAAACTGAGGCACAGAGAGGTTAATAGAGAGCACAGTGACAGAGCACAGAGTGAGTGAAAGTTCGAGTGGGGTACAGGCCCCACCCCAAACTACAGAGTTGCACCCTTACCCACTGGGCATTCTGCCTCTTATACCCTCATGTCTACCAGGCTTGGCAGGGGAGAGGTAGGGGCAGCTATCAGCAGTCACCTACTCTGGGGAATGCAGGCACTTGACAAACACTTGTGTGCTTCAATCTCAGAAGAGCCCAGGGGAAATGAGCCATGATACTGGCCATGTGGGGAAGCAAGACCAGAGAAGTCTGATCATCTTGTCAAGGCCACACAGCCCAGGAAGGGGTGGAGCTGAAATCCAAACCTTGGCCTGAGCTTACCCTGGCAGGTCTCTCCTTCCCAAACCCCCCTCCCCACCACCACCAAGCTAAAGACCACGGAGACCAGAGGGAGGGAAAGGGAAAATGGGGGTGAGGAGACTGGAGAGGGGCTTCAGAGACAGTCCTCAGGCCTAGCAGCTGCCTTAGGTTCCCTAGGGGTCCAGGGGAACCTCTGGACTTCCCTCGCTTCTTGAGGGACCTCAAGCAGCCAGGTCTCTGGAAATGGATCACCCTTACGTTCCTGGGGCTTTTAGGGTCTGGAGCAAGGTCCTGTGGGATCCCCCACCCTGCACATCTGCTGGCCACCAGGCACCAGGGCAGGATGGGGGGGGGAGGCGGGGGGTTCTGACCCCCTGCATGATCTAGCAGCACCACCTCATCTGTGGACTTGAGCAAACAGGGTCTGGATGGGGGTACCTCACCTCCTCCAGAGAATAAAGGCCACAGACCAGATTGTGGGGTGTGTGAAGTCTGGAGTACATGGGGAGGGCATGGGCTGGGACAGAAATCTGGTCTGCACTCAGTCTGTGCACCCCACCCCCACCCCCCACCCCCGGCTCTCCTCAGGCCCAGGCTCCACGAGCCCCATGAAAGGGACAAGACAGGGAGATAGCACAGTCCGTGCTTGGGCTAGATGTCCTGCAGGGAAGGGAGCAGACTCGGGACAGGGAGGCCCTAGGGGCTTCACAGGCGCCGCCTATACAGCACAGCCAAGAGCATGGCGAAGAGAGCCCCAGCTGCAGCTGCCCCAAGCCATGGAGCATAGAATCTGGCCGGGACAAACTTGTCCTTGACTGAGGGCTGTGGGGCAGCAGGAGGCCCGGGACTACCCTCTACCAGGTTAATGCTGGGATCCTGGGCCACTTGGATCCTAATGGACTCCACTGACTGGTACTCATTCTCCTCTGGGGCGTTGTCAGGCCCTGCGCCCAAGGACTTGCTGCAGCTGAGGGCCAGGTCCGCAGAGCAGCCTGAGAACGGCTCACTGTCCATGTGGGAGACCAGCCGGCCAGGCTTGCTCAGCTCCAACTCGGAGCCCCAGGTGGCAGGGTTGTGGTCTGGCTCGGGCAAGCTGTCTCTGGTGGAGGTGCCTGTGGGCTCTGGAGCCACTGGAGGAGTCTCCTGAGAAAGAAAGGAAGGGCTGGAAGGGACTGGGGATGGCCGGACACCCAAATGGGTGGCCCCATTCCCAGCCAATACATGAACTAGCATCTCAACCCTCCAATTCCCAGCCCACAGTATGGGAGGAAGCCACCCTCTCTTGGAGAGAGACTCAACCCAATGATGGTGCAGGAGGGCACTGAGAGAGGAGGTGTCCAAGCCTCTGCAGTGGTATCAGTGGTAACTTTCTCCAAGGTACCCCTCTCCCTACTCACTGGCCTGCTTGTGAGCTCACCCCCGCTCTCCTAGAGCCCTTGGCAGTTGTGGCCCCATCCTACTTCAACATTCTGCCAGGGCTGAGGCCATGGAGCAGCCACAGGGTCAGAGGCCTGGCCATGTGCCTAACGGGTCCCTTGGACTTGGTTCTTCCAGGCAGACAAGAGGAGCAGGACTAGATGTGCTGGCCCAGAAGGGGCAGCTGTGGGGGGCTGTTGGGTCAGTGTGGCTGTCTCAGGCTGAGACTGCTATCTACAAAGCCCTGATAATGGAGAAGCAGACTGGATATCCTGGGGGTGAAGAGCAAGACATTGAGGCAGACAGGCCATCCAGCTCTATCCCTCATAGTTCCCTCATCTGCAAAATGGTGCTGCTAGGCCTAATGTACGGCTTTGAGCTCTAAACGGGTTGATGCACATGACCAGTGGGGATGGCCGCCACACCCACCCCTCCTAGGAATCCACACTCAAGAGCTCTAATGATTATTAGTACTCTAAAGGATTTGGTGTGGGGTCCAGAAGAGGCTGGATCTCAGCTATCCCTATACCCTTGAAAAGAAGCCCTGGCACAGCCCAGGCTGGAGACAGAATGGAGACTGGAAAGGGTCCAAGGATAGGGCTCGGGGGGAAAGCCTGGATCACTGGTAGAAGGGCAAAGACTCACCCCTGAGGATATGCTGCTCCTGACGGGGGGCACTGTGTTGGCAGGCACCGTGCTGGGCGCTGTGCTTGTGGACATCCTGTGGTCAGGCACCAAGCCAGTAGGCACCTTGGGTGCCACTGTGCCAGCACGTGTGGAGTTGATAGGCAGTTTGGATGGCGGTAGACTAGTGAGCACGTTAGTAGACATTGTACCAGAGGGTTTCGAGCTGGCAGGCAACTTGGAAGGCATCGTTCTATCAAATGCTGAGTTGGTAGGCACTTTGGAGGGTGCCACGCTGGTGGTCAATGAGCTGGCCAACACCCCGGCCCCAGGGAAGATGGTAGCCTCACCATGGTCACCAGCACCCCCTGAAGAGGCCAAGCCAGGGGAAGAGGAGGAGATGCCAGTAGGCGGAGCTGATACTGAGGGTCCTGGCAAGCGGCTTGCCCTGGGGATGGAACGGGTCAGTGGCTGGAAGGAGACAGATGGAGACACAGGCCCACGGGGTGATGTGAGGCTGGAGGCCATGCCTGCAGGTGGTAAAATAAAAGGGAAAACACAAACCCACAGGACTGTTACCCTAAAAGCACAGTCACCTGGGATCAGAGAGTTGAAGAAGAGTCTCAGTTCCCCAGCTCAAGTCCCTACTGCACCCAGGCCTCCCAACATCCTCCCATGGAGTCTCCACAGTCCCTTTGGTCATTGCTCCCAGGCCCCGAGGTCCAACAGCTGCAGGCGCATCCTCAGCCCTATCTAGCCTTAGTCCTTGACCTAAAGTCAAGTCTGTTCTCTCATAAGAATGAAATGGTTCCTCCCCTTTACAGCATCTAGGAGCTTGAAGATCATTAATTATCCTCTCCTCTTTCTTCTCCTGCCTGGGACACCCTCCTTTCCTCCTGTGTCTGCTCATTAGCTTGGTGGAATTCTGGATGCTCCTCCCTCTGCCACCTTCCCCTCCCCCACCAGTAGGAGCCACCCTGGATCATGGCAAAGGGCAGCACGATGGCTCAGCAGGTGGTAACAGTCCATATAGGCATTTATATCCAGATCCCCCATGGTACTCTGAGAATACACGTGCCAGGCCCTATGGCTGACAAAGGCCAGAAGTAATTCTGATGTACCACCCCACCCCCACCAAAATCTGACACCACAGAACCTCATGGGACCTGTATCCACGCATGTATTGAAATCTAAGTGCCCTCTGCCTCCCTGGTCCACAGCAGCATTTCCTGAAAGGTGTCCCATGGCAAGCTGACATTGCAAAGTACAAATGGGTGCTTGGGGAAGAGTTCTGGGGTGAAAGGAGTGGAGGACACTGAGATGGCTTCTCGGAGCCTTTAACTGTTCAGGTGCCTTGTGGCTGTCCCAGGGGCACCAAAGGCTGGTCAGGCTATAGTGTTACATGGAATACAGTTTAGGAAACAACGGAGCAGAGAGATGCCATCCTGGGAAGTCAGAGTGGACAGCTCTATATTCCCGAGGGTGGGAACTGAGATCTGGTTTTGGGGCCCAGGCCCTTAACTGATGAAAATCATACTTCCTCTGGGGGCTGAGAAGTTTTAGTGATTCATTGGGAGCTAGAGCCCCACTACGGGTAGGGCAGCACCTAAGGGCTCTAAGGGCCCCTGCCAATAAGTAGCCCAGCTCTTCCACACTGTCCTCCAGGTCCTGGTGAACCCCACAGGGTCCCCTCAGAAGAATCCACAAATGGCCCTAATGCTCTTCCCCTGCCTGTATCCACACCCTCTGCAATGTGACTGTCAGTCCTCTCATCTAGAGACAGAGTCTGTTCCCTACTCCTTGACTCTGGGCTGGCCCCGGGACTTGTTTGGGCCACAGAATGAGGCAGGAGGGAAGACTGCCAGTTTTGAGCCTTTGCCCCAGGAGTCTGCTCTCTCAGAATTCTGCTCAGCTGCCAGGAAACAGACTTGTCTGGTGAAAGATGAGGACTCACTGAAGAGAACCAAGGTGCCCCGCCCCCCGCCAACAGGCGTAAGTAAGCAGTGCGTACACGGGTGTGTACGCAAGAGGGAATCCAGCCAAGATCCCAAGAAGTACCCTGAGCCAGCCCAAATTGCTGACCCACAGAATCATGAGCTAAATAGTCCTATTTTAGGCTACTAAATGTTGGAATGGGTTGTTACGTAGAAAATACTAATACACCCTCAAGGAATTGGGTTGCTCCTGAGGTAAACTCCCTTTATTCCCACCCTCGCCTCCTGTCCAAGGAAGCCAGAGGGGCAACTCTAGTCTTCACCCTCTGGGAGGTCCGAGAGGTCCTATGGCTCCAGGTCACATACATACCTGCTATGTGGGCACTGCCTGGTTCTGTGTCCTGCTCCTGACGCCCACTGGAGGTCAGAGGGCTGAGGGCTGCCATGTCAGAGGAGGGCTCCAGGGGGCCAGCTGGCCTCCTCAGGACAGTCCCAGAACTGGGTGTCTGTGGGACTTTCTTTGAACTCTGCAAGAGGGAAAATGGAAATGAGGCAGCTGCTTCTCCCAGGATCAAGCATCTCCCACCGGCCTCAGCCTGTGCCATGGAGCACAGAAACCAGGGAAGCCCCTCGCCCTGGCTTTGATCATTGCCAGACCCTCTGTCCACAGGAACGTACCTTACAGAGAACACACACCATCCCATGGGGAGTCTCTGTTCATCTGCCTGGCCCTATCAAATGTCCTCCTCTCTGAGGCTACTGCACAGACCCCTTTCTTGGGCTTCAAGTCCATGATCTGGTGTCTCCTGAACACCCTGCTGCCTGCTCATCACATCTCAATAGAATCAGTAATTTTCGCCCTGAACTTGACTTTACTGGCAATAATTACTCCATCTACCCTCTACCCCATCACCTCCTCCTTCCCCAGTACTCCTCCAGTGGTCATTCTCCGGTCCTTCGGTCCAGCTCAACATCTCACACGGACCACTTCAAAGACCTCCATACTGTGACCTCACAGCTGGTTGATAAGAGGGTTGGGGGTTGCCATAGGGTGAAGCCCTAGTCAGCAGTCTGAGAGCTGGTTTGGGGCATATCTCCATTGGGGGAGCCCTTAGGTTCTGAGCAGAGGTTAGGCATGACTTCTGGTGGGGGCAGAGGAGAGCTTCTAGAGGCTGGGCAGACAGGAACACAAAAGCAGGGGTCCAGACTAGGCATGAGAACACACCTCTCCTAGGGACTCTGGCGGCTCAGTGTCCTGGACAGGCAGGGGGAAACTTGGCTCCTCCTCTCTGTAGCCATTGTGGGGGGCGCTGGGGGCCACGGCAGGTGTGGAGGGCCCTGGAACCTCAGCAGGAGCTAACTGTGGCTCCAGTGGGGCTGGGGGGCAGTTCTTCGGGACCCCTGGAAGACAAAGATACAGTGATGTCAAGGAGGAGTCAGAGGAACTCCCAGTGACAGGAGAGGCCTGGATGCTCCTGGACCCCCAGAGCCATGACTATAGGCACCCCCCCCCCCC